AACTGGGGAAGAATATTGACACATTTTCCTCATTTCTAATTTGCACATCGATAAGCCGTGTTACCCAGAGCTGATCTCTGGCAGTCTTCTGACAAAACCTCAGTCCTAGGGCTGGAGAGAAGGCTCACACTGCTTGTGCAGAGGGGCTTGGATTTGGCTCCCAGCATCCCTTTTCAGGTGGCTCAAAACCACCTGTCACTCCAGCTTGGGGAGTGGGGAATCTGATGCCCTTTTGTAGCTCCCAAGGGCACTTGCACTTGTTGCCCAAGCCCACAGAGACAAATACAAATAAATCATAAATTAAAAAAATAAAATAAAATGGCCTTTTGTGAGGAAGTTAGTGTGTCGTGATTTCCTTCGATGGTATGAGGAGTTCTTCCAAAAACAAACAAACAAACAACAAAGACAAAAACAAAAATACCAGACGGGAAGTATCAGTTTCACGGAGGTCACCAACTGGGAAAGACTGGAGAAAAGGGAAGAGCCAAGAAAGCTTAGTAAGAGAGAAACACACTCGGGCACCGTTTCTTTTCTTGAAAAAGCCGCTGCGCCTGGACTGAGCCACATGGTAGCTAAGCACAGTGTGTTCCCTTTGCCGTATCGATGCTTCTACCCCCAGACTGGTGGCCGACAGCCTTCTTCTTCTCAGGACCTGGCATCCACAGTGCACACTGGCATTACAGGAATATGCTTTCACTGGAAACTGTACACAATAACCCATGGTCTCATTGTGAATACAAAGTTTAGATTTACTGTAACAGGACTGCAAAGCAGTATTTCCGTCCATAACGCTCTTGGTTACTTAGGTCCGTGTGTGTGTGTGTGTGTGTGTGTGTGTGTGTGTGTGTGTGTGTGTCTGGGCCGCACGGAGCCATCTCATTTCCAGCGAGGGACCTTGAGGTGGCAGCAGCGTCACGCTCAATCCTGCCATGCTCCGAGTCCGTTACAAAGTGAAAGTAAAAATCGCAATAAGTCAGAGTAATACTGATTGTTATAATTTTATTATCAGAGCATTAAGTCAATAAAACTTATCTAAAACATCGTTTGAATTGTATACGGTTTTTACTAGTTGGCCAGCATGTCCCAAAAGCGCATCTAAAACAACAAAAGGAAGAAATCAGTGATGAATTGTGAGAAAGCTGGGATTTGTCTCATGCCGTAGTAAAACTAGATCTTCTTTTTGCATTGTAAAGTATTCCTTTTGAAGACATTAATGTACCCACAATGCCTTACGTCTGCCTGACTGTGTTTAGTGTCCTATTGTCTGCTTATGTGTTTTCCAGCTCTTTATCCATCATTTATGGCTTTATATAGGAAGGGTCATCTCATATATGACATTCCTTCAGGTCATTTTTTAAAATGAGAAATAATGAAATGTATTTATGAAATGAGTCAGAAATTTATTGAAAAATGAGTATAATAGAAATATGAAAATGAAAAAAAAAAACCTTCTTACTAGCATATTCATCACTGGGAGCCAGAGCCCAAGCAGTGGAGCAGTTTTGTAAATGCAGGGTGTAAGGTGATAGCATTCTGCTTGCATCAGGCACGATACGTGATTACTGTGCATTTTTACCTTGTCAGTTGCTGTCAGATTATCACAGCATCACCGTAGAATTACTTAAGATACAAGACACTAAAATGTTTACACCCATAGTTTTCCATTTTTCCTCTTTAATTTTAAGAGATAGGTTGCTGAAATGTCATTTATGGGATGTTGGGAAGGTAAGTTCAGAATGTGTTCCTGGCTTAATTTTTTTGTTTTGTTTTGTTTTTAAATCTCTCTGTGGTGCAGGCTGACTTTGAACTAACTCCCCATGCTGGAATTACAGGCATGTCCCACTATGCCAAGCTCATAATTCCAGCTTGAGGTGTTCAGATGCTATGGTAGACAGACATGGGACTAGATTTGGACTAGAAATTGCATGGTTGGGGTTCTGTGGACTCAGAACCCTTTTTCCCTTGAACTCAACACACCTTGTTTGTACAGTATGTTGGGATGAGAGAGGGAGAGAGAAAGAGAGAACTTTCTGAGTTTATGTTCAGTTACGTGTGTCATGTACATTCAGGATCAAACTACTCTAGAGATATCCACCCTCCACCCCCCACCCTCCCAACCCCTGCCATGTGTGCCTCACCAGCCTCTTAGATGATTCTAAATCTAGTCAAGTTGACAGTGAAGATCTTACCATGACACAACCAAGGCCCAGAGAACTTGCCTGCACTATGGACAACCCGGGGGTCTGTCGTGTTAGAAACTGCTTGGTACGTGTGTCTCTAACCGCCCTTCTGACTGATGGCCTTTTGCTCCTGGGGAGCTGTCATAAATAGATATTAGATCATAGGCGATCCCAAACAGGATTCGATTAGGTGCTCGCATTTGATCTGAGTGCAATTGATACAAAGATGGAAATAATGTAGGGTTAAATGTAAATAACTGAGAAATGCCTTTTGGTCACAGAAGCCGGCACTGCAAATCTCAAATAAGCTGGTTATTAGATGAAATACTTATTCCACTCTTGCAAAGGAGTATTGATTCAATTTGGGTGACAGTGTCAGTCTGAGGGGATTGACTGGCTATGTTGGGAAGTATTTGAGTCAAATGGTCTAACAAGACAAATTCTTTGAATTGCGCTTACAACAGAGTGTGCATACGGCATACGGATTTCAGAGGTGACCTGGGCTGTTGCCGCAGCTTCATGAGCTGAAGGTACCGAGAGAGAGAGAGAGAGAGAGAGAGAGAGAGAGAGAGAGAGGCAGAGGGACAGAGGTAACGAGAAATTGGGAGCAGGTTCCCTAAGATGGCAGTTTCTTGTTCCCAGAACACATTCAAAGGAGTGATGGTGGAAAGAGGCAGGGGTGAATATCTAAGCAGAACCAATAGGAAAACGGGGAAGGCTCAGGGGCCTACAAAACATCTAACTCAGTCTGCTGTTATCTTTTTAAAATTCTTACATGTGTGGGAGTCTTCTCTGAACATAAGTCTGTGTGTTATATCCATGCCTGGTACCCAAGATGGTCAGAAGAGAGCATTGGATCCCCTGGAACTGGATTTACAGCTGGTCGGGAGCCACCATGTGGGTGCTGAGAACTGAACCTGGGTCCTCTGCAAGAGCAGCCAGTGCTCTTAACCACTGAACATCCCTCCAGCCCCAACAAATTAATTTTTTAGTTATTTCGAAGTGTGTGTGTGTGTGTGTGTGTGTGTGTGTTCGAGGAGTCGGATCCCCCTGGAGCTGGAGTTACAGGTGGTTGTGAGCCACCTGATGTTGGTGGTGGGAATCAAACTCAGGTCCTCTGCAAGAGCAGCCAGTGCTCTTCATCTCTGAGCCACTTCTCCAGCGCAAGGCTGTGTTACTTAGAGGTAGGACCGAGTAGGAGGCAGGGAGAGAGCTTTGGAGGTTGTAGCCTGGTCTTCTTCCCAAACCTCTCTCTCTGGTCTGTGGTGATGTGGGTGGCCTCTACTCACCTCTGTGAGTAGAGCCATTTTCCCCAAGATAGACTCAAATCACCAGGCCAAATACACCTCCCTTCTCTTATGTTGGTTATTTCTGGTGTATTTGTTACAGTGATACAAAGTAACAAATAGAAGCCGTTAAGGAAATGGCATTCAAAAATTGACTGTATATGCTACAAATGTTAAGAGATTAGATGATAAAATTCATTTGAAAATTCCTAGTTCTCTGTGCTGCAACTTTCCCATCAGCACATGTTGGCTGAAACCCAGTGAGTGCTGTGAAAGTACCCTGAAGTCCACACAAGATGCCCCAAGACCCAGTTCTCAGCACAAAGGAGATGTATTTGCCCCGGGGGGACAAAGAGCAGGGAATGAGACAAAGACAAGAGATAGAGGACATGGGAGAAGGGCAAAGGAGCAAGGGAGAGGGGAAGGGACTTTTGCCCAGGAGGGACAAAGGACTGCCTCTGGACAGAGAGCAGATAGATCTGGCTCATAGGAAAATGGCAGTTTATGAATCCCTGTGTTAGGATGAGTTGGTTAATTTTGATTGGGCATATTAATTAGGGCAGCGAAAGGGGGAGCGTTGATTGCTGGACTTTGCTTTGGTGGTCAGTCTTAAGAGGAGGAAGTGGCCAAATAAGGGAATAGACCTTGGTGGCTAGTTTTAGGGATGTAATTGAATGGTTTATCAAGGTGTAGAAAACTGGGGGAGAAGGGTAAAAGGCAAAACCTGTCAGCACCATGTTTGTCACGCTGGGGCCTGTGAGAGCCCTTGGCCTTCCAGCTTCTGGGCTCAGCCCAGGGGACAGTGCCTGGGGGACTGACTACACTGGGACCAGACACTGTTGGGATTGATCATCGACATCAAGTCGAATCAAGCTCTCAGCTCTTCTTCTCGTGAGCTTCCAGAACTTTCTTGACAGTATCCAACTGCTCATGGTCATCTTTCTGGTTTCAGTAGTTGAAAGGGACCATGAGGCTTGCCAGAAAATCAATGGACAATTGGGCTTCCATTTCTCTCTCTCTCTCTCTCTCTCTCTCTCTATCTCTCTCTCTCTCTCACACACACACACACACACGCATACAGCATGCACGTTGAAATACATACCCCCTCAAACACGTGCTTCTTTGTGGGCCCATTTATTTTCATGACCTCTCTACGCTAAGAAAGCCTTTCTCTTTCATTGTAAGTCAAAGGCACTTGCTGACATCCCATCCAAGCCCTGGATAATTGGCATTTCAGTTTCATGTGTTGACGGAGAACACGTCTCAAGAACACGTTTCGCTGTCTCATGGCCACAGCCTTGGGGGTGGGGCAGCGGTGGAGCTGATTAGCTCTGTATAATTCGACATGGAGTAGAGGCTGAGGAAGATGAGGGATTTCAGTTCTGTAGAGCTGGAGCCTCTCTCTGCCTTCCTTCTGACCTGTGGGAAGGGTTTGCAGCAGCCATCCCTGCCCCTTACCCTCCTTGGCTCGAGGGCTTCCAGCCTCCTACGCTTCCAACATCAAAGCTAACAAGAACTTTTCCTTTCTCTTTAGGGTCTCTCTTGTTCCACTGATGTTCCAGGTTGTCTGGTCCATGAGCTTCCAGGTAATTCTCGTTTCCAATTCCCACTTGCCTTAGGAGGGCTGGGGTTATGATGCGTTGTATCTCTTTTTTCGTGGGTTCTGGGGACATTTGTGTTTGCGGCGGACGGAGGTGAGTGAGGTTGTATTTTGTGTTGGCGCCTTTTCCCCTGTTGTGACCAGGATAGGTACGAGGCTAAGGCTGAGGTTGGCTCACAGTTTCCAAGGTTTGAGTCCATAGTAACTTGGTCACATTTTCTTAAGCAGTGTATTGTGGTGGTGGGGACACTGGGTGAATAGCTCATCTTAGAGTGGAGAAGAAGCAGAGAGAGAAAAGGATGCAGGAGAGGACCAGGGGAAGAGACAGCCATAAGAATACGCCTACACTGACCTACATCCTGAACTCAGCCCCACCTCCTGCCCCCTACCACCTCCACTGTATTAGAAGCCCACCGCTGGACAATCCATTGCTGTAGGTCAGAGCCCTCATGGTCCAGCTGTCTCTGGAAATGGCATCATAGCGTCACCCAGATCAAGCTGCAACCATGGTTAACTATCACAGATGACTTTGTTTCTAAATTCTTATCCATTGGAGCTCATTTGCTCTGGACTAGAATCCTGCTTACTAGCGAATAAAGTAATTCCAAATGATAGTTTAAAGAAAAAAAAAAAAAGAGTTCAAAGAGAAGCACAGGCATGGCTGGACAGCACCTCCCCCAGAAGATGCGAGTTATTGGGTGAACTATGGCACGAGGGCAGGGACACCTCCACAGGAGGCACTGGTCTGGGAGGCCCCAGAGGTCTCCAAGACAACCAGGCTCTTACCATTGTTCTTAGCTACCCAATGCAACTCCCCTTTTGCTGGATTCAAAATGTCAAGACAACAGCCTAATTGGAATCTTTTTTTTCCCTCCCTTTCTCTTTCTTTCTGTCCTTCCTATCCCATCCCCATCCCTCTCTCCCCCCCCTTTCCTTCCCTCCCTTCCCTTGTATTCTGGTAGGGTCTTATGTTAGCCAGGCTGGCCTTAAATTGTGATCCTCCTTCCTCAGCCTCTTGACACATCATCAGAATCATGGGAGTGCATCATCATGCCCACCTCTGAACTCACTGTCTTTATCCTCACCACCAACATCACTTTCTTTTTTTCTTTAAGAGAAGCAAAATCCCATGCGGGGTTCTGGCTGCCCACCCAGAAGTCTTACCCACCAGGTTAACAGGCTGAAGAGTTTGATGCAAAACAAATTGCCAAGCTGGCAGCGAACAGTGTGAAATCCAACTGGCTGGAAACTGTGTCTCATTAGACAGAGGCCATGCGCACAGCAAACCCAAAGCACTTGGAACTAGTCAGTGTGATTCCTTTGCAGGAGGCAAAGACGTGCTATTCACTGTTAGGCAGCCAGTCGCTTCTACTAATCTGTTTGCAGTTTCTCTCTCTCAACGCTCCTGCCTTCTCAAGAAATCTTATCCCTTCCTAGCGCCTTCAGTTTGCTTTGGCCCACTCACATCCAGCACACACAGTGAGGTCCTCACCAAGAGACACTCTTGTCCTCATCTGCTTAGCTTCAAGACCCATGGGGTTGAGTTTGAGTTTGGATCCCCAGCCCAACAGTTAGGTTGAGACCTTATCTAACCTTTGCAGATGAGAGGAGGGGGAAAATTGTTTTGGCAGCAAAAGAGCCTGCCTTTGCTTGAGTCTTCACGAAATGGATGTTTACATTTATGCTAACATTTCTTTCTAACCTCTGCTTGGCATTTGTTCTGCTGAAGAAGTAGGTTAAAAAATTCATATGCAAACAAAATCCAAAATATTTTTTCGTGTTGTAGAGTCAAGTGTTAACCACCCACTCACTTCTCATGTGAGTTAGCTTCTTGACTTCTAAAAACAAAACAGCAGAACAAACAGAAATACCTAAGAATGGTAAAAAAAAAAAGGGGGGGGGTGGGAAGGGCTTATTTATTTTCCTTCCATCTATGTGAGTATTTTTTGTGTGTGCATGTATGTGTACCACAGGCATGCAGTGCCTAAGGAGGCCAGAAGAGGGCGTCAGATCCTGCAGTTATACATAGCCTTGGGCTGCCATGTGGGGTGCTGGAAATTGAACCTGGATCCTCTGCCAGAGTAGCCAGTGCACTTAACCTTTGAGCCATTCCCTCCAGACCCTAAAAAAGGGTTTATTGTTAACCTTCACGCTCATCACTCATCTCCACCAAGTTGTGCACGATCTCCCCCAAACACCACAAACTCCTGATTTCTTTTTTTCACACCCATTTTAGATGCTGCCTCTTCCCAGGTTTGTACCCCATCATCCAGAGCCCTAGCCTTGCCAGTACTTCCTAAGAATTCAATCCTGTTCTCGTCCTCCTCGCATTTCCAACTTTCTTTTCTTTCTTTCTGAGTGCTGGGGATTAAAGGAATGAACCAAGTAAGAAGTAAGATTTATTAATTATTTTTGTCTCATGTGTCTGAGCGTTTTGTCGGCATGGACGTGGTACACGGATGATTGCTGCCTGTGGAGGCCAGAGAAGGCGCTGGATTCCCTGGAACTGCAATTGGGGAAGACTGCAAGCCGCCTGATGTGGGTGCTTGGTACCCCCAACCCCAGCCCTCTGCAAAAGAGCAGGAAGTGCTCTGAACTTCCGAGTCAGCCCTCCAGTCCACACTTACAAGTTTTTGTAGTCCTGTTACCTGGTAAGTTTACAGCGGGATTGTCTACCCTCCCTAGCTGTTGAGTGCCAGAACTGTTCTGGACTGTTCTGAGCAGGGCAGGGTTTCGGCTCCCAGGCCAGAGAGATGACTGTGAATGAACACTCCGCCACCCCTACCCCACCCTCACCTCACTCCCACTCTGAAGCCATGCTGTCCTCTGTCTGTGATGTCTTCCTCTGCAGCCGTCTCCTGACTGAGCCTCTGCCCACTTGGAAGTTGTTGCCTGTGCAGCCCTCCCTCCTCCCCTGTGCGCGGCTTCATTTTTCCACAGCCTTGGAATTGTGTATCTTGCTGCTCTGTCACAGAAGTCATTCCACACAAAGCCATCTGTGATTGTCCCCCAATATCCGAGGCACAGTGGTGTCCAATTTTAATATCTCGCTCTCGTGCGCAGAGGCGATCTGTTCCTAGATGACAGTGAATCAGTGGAGAGATATGGCAAGGGCGCCGGAGGGGTCTCAGCCTCCCGGATGGCCCCTGCAACATCAGAAGCGGCCTCTGCTGGGAAATTACCATGCTTATTTTTGGAGGACTGGTTCTGCCTTGACGCTGTGTGTCCCAGTAGCTACAGAAAGCAATGCAGGAAGGGCAAATCGGGTGGGAACATGAGCCCTGGAAGAGCCAGCCCCATGCGGCAGTGCAACCCATAGACAGTCTATGGCTTTGTACCTCATGAGGGCATCTGAAAGCCGGGGGAGTGTTTCTTCATCGCAGAAGATGCATTCATTATTGCGTAAGAAGACTGTCACAAACACGCGACTGCTGATTCCATCATGGCACCTTGCTGTGTGTCACTGTCCCTGGGGAAGATGAGAATGAACATCTACTCCTCCCAAATAGAGAACGATGATGACAGACCAAAGTTAGGACACCGCCAGAGTCTGACTAGCTAGGTGGCCACAATGAGCTCTAGTGGGGTTACTTACAGGAGCAGAAATGATTCACAGACAGCAGCATCACCGACCCCGCCCCAGTGTGGGTGACACACAGCTCGCAGAGCTGGGAACCTGGAGCTCACTGCACAGCCTGCAGGGAGCTTGATAGGTTGGAGAGCTTCCTCGTCGCTCTGAACCTCTTCCGGTGGCTCGGCTGGCGGGAGAGTCCTTACTGCTTACGTGTGCCTGGGGAGGGAGGTGCTTACTGTATCTGGTCAGTTTCAGGGACTTCCTGAAGCCTTTGAGTTGTTTTCTTCCTGAGTTTACGGAACTCCCCACGCAGGACTGAGTGTTCCACCACTCCCCCACCTAGAACACTCTCAGTCTTAATGAGCTTCCTTCTAAGATGGAATGTTTTATCTGGGAGGAAAATGCTGCACAGCGCACCAGCCGGGGACAGGAGACCAGAAACACCAACCCCCTGGACAGACAAACTTGGATGTAAATCAGCTTCCTTCCCCAGACTCCCAAGGCCTGAGAGATTTTTATGACCTAATGACTAGAAAGGGGAGGTGGAGATTGTTCTGCCAGATAAAAACCAAACTGGGGAATGGCTTCAAGGAACTCAGGGATGGAGAAAACTAAAATAATGAAAACCAATAGTGCGTCGGAAGTGATCTTACAGTTCAATCTGAGCAGGGCGCTGTGCGCGGAATGGGTGAGAAATTTCATCGTACTGTGGCAGCAAGCACACTTTATGGCAATGCATGCTGCCTTGCTAATCACTGCCGCCTCACACTGAGTCGTGCGGAACACCAACACACAGTTCAAGCCCTAGAGTCCTAGGGCTGGAACAGCGTGGACTCTGCTGGGAAGGAAGTTCACTGGCACCTCAAGAACTCAGCTGCAGAGCTGGGGCTGCACACGAGTCATCTCTGCCCTTCTCCTCTGCCTCCTGGCTCCGAGCGTCCTGTGTGTGTTTGGCTCACATGACATGCTCTCCGACGGTCCTAAAGTCCTTCCCCACAAAACCTTAATGGTTGCTGTGATGGCAAAAGGGGTCTGTGACATAATAATAATAATAATAATAATAATAATAATAATAATAATAATAATAAAAACTTCAAGTCCCAGGTGTGGTGGTACACACTTGTGATATTGGCACCTGGGAGACTGAAGCAGGGGGCCGTGAGTTCAAGTTTAGCCTGGACAAAGTGTCAAGTTCAAGATTAGACTGGGCCAAATGGTAAGATCCAGTCTCCCTCACTTCCTCCCAGAGGGAAAAATAAAGCAAAACGATTCATTTAGTCTTAGTCAAAACCCCCAAATCTTTCTAGTTTTCCGAGTGATAGGATTATCTACAACCAGCTATATCTGAATTTATGTTACCCAGGTGACCCGAGGCTGTACCTCTGAAGGGCTGGTTACCAGAAAGACCAAATAATTAGTGGGGCGGAATGTTCACCAGCTGACCTCTGGGAAGACACGGAGTTCTCGGGATCAAATTACAGAACCTTTTACATTAAAGGAGTTTTGGACCACTGTCTGAAGTAGGGGGCTGAAGTCTCTCTGCTCAGCGTCAGAAATGAGGTGATGTATGGAGACAAACGGGTTGCTGCGAAAAATCCATACAAGGTCAGGAGCGTTGTAGGTAATAGCATAAAGACCTTGCAGCACCCTCTATCAATGTTTCCAGCTTGTAGGGACTACTATCGGTCCTTCCCAGTGGCCTCCTAAATGGTACCCAGATGTTCACCCAGGTCGTCATCACATCTGGATGCAAAAATCTTTTTCTTTTCTACCCCACATAGCTCGGGTCTTCCCTCCATCCTACGTTCACACACACACAGAAGACAGCACCCTCCAGGCAGCACGACATTCATCAAAGGGAGGCTTGCTCACCTCTGTCATGTAACGGGCTCCTAGAGTGTCACCACACATCACATGAAGCTTATGGGCTTCCTCTAAGCACATTTTTTAATGTTGTCTTTTAAAGATAGTGTTTTGCTAAATAATATATCCCAGGCTAGTCCAGATATCACTATCATCCTACCTCAGCTTCCTGAGTGCTGCAGTTAAAGCTTTGTGCCGCCATACCCAGCATGAAGTGTTTGTTTTTTTTTGTTTTTTTTTTTTTCCCCAGCATGAACTCCCTTCCGCCCTTCCTTTTCTAGTGGTGCTGGGGACTGAGCCCTGGGCCTTGTGCATGCTCAGGAAAGGCTGGCTATGCCACTGACCTACAGACATCTCCTCTTCCATGATGTAGGCTTTTCAGGGGCTTCTCAGAGGCTTTTCAGTCTCTGCTCTGGGAAAGTGTCTGGCTACCTTCCATCAGCCCAGATCCACAGCAGCACAGGCAACATCCTCGCTGTCTGAACGATGGGGTGTATGCAGCCCGCCTGGGGGTGCCAGAGCCCTCTCAGTTCACCCGCACTCCAGGGGAAGCTCCTGCCCCTCACCCCTGCCAAGGCGGAGTCTCCAGAAGGCATTGTTTTTTTGCAGCAAGTCTTAGATAATACAGCAGGGGAGGGTGCTGGCCCGTGAGCTGGGGAGGGAGGACCAATCTTCACTTCTGTCATAAGAGGGTGGGCCTGGGTCTCCTCTAGCTGAGCACGTGGGGGAGCGCGCTTAGCAAAGGGGTTCCTGTCGCTCTCAGTCCGGGCCTCTCCTGCGTTCTCGCTACCCACGTTCTTTCTGTCCCTTCCCCTCGATTCCAGATGCTCTCCACTCGCCTTTTCCATGGCTCGAAGCTGTACTCCTCTCTTACCTGCCTCTTACCTGTGCTTCTGCATTAGTATTTGTGTGTGTGTGTGTGTGTGTGTGTGTGTGTGTGTGTGTGTATGTCGGGGCGTGCTGGCTCGAACATGGGGCCTAAGGCATGTAGAAGCTCCACTGAGCTGCATTCCAGCCCCCAATCCCTGCTTCCACAGCAGCAGGGCGGCCCTGCAGGAGGAGACTGAATTTTCTTGCTTAGTGGGTTGGCTGCTCCTCTCTCCGCCCCTTCCACGTGCCAGGCTTCTGTGGGGGCGGAAAGTTTGGCATACACATTGTCTTTAAACCCCACAACAAATGAAAGGACTGGTGGCTGTTGTCCGAAGTTTAACGATTAGGAATCGGTTGTTCAAAGTCATTTGATATTAATAGCAGAACCAGGGTCGCTATCGCCGTGAGTTTTCGTGGAGCTTGGGTGCCTGATGTTAGAGCCTGCAGGAGACACATCATGACCCCCACCTTACTCTTTCTCATCTACCTATTACCTAGCTACTCTCCATCTGCCCACCTATCTGTCTATAATCTACCTACGACTGATCTATCAATCAGCCACCTGTTCATCATCATTATCATTTTTGAGACAGGATCTCACTTTAGCACAGGCTGAGTTTGAACTCACTGTGTGTCCAAGTTAGCCTTGAACTGGAGATCTTCCTGCCTCGGCCTCCTGAGTGCTGAGATTAAAAATGTGCGCCCCCATGCCAAGCAAAGAAATTTAGAAAAGGTCAGTCTCCCCATCCCCCACACTCTTTAAGATGGATCACGGATGGCCTTGGATTTGTGACCTTGCTCAGCCTTCCCAGACCTGGGATTGTGAGTGTACACCACCATGGTTGGCTCTGCCCCTTCTTTTTTACATGGATGACATATGCTTTGGAACCTGGTTCTCTCCCTGCTGTCCCCTGTTAAGGTTTAGCCACACTCAGTGGAAAATGAGTCAGGCAAGAAATGCAGATCCTATGGCGGGGGAAGTGCCTGCTTTGGGGTCCTAGGCTTCAGTGTGTCATCCTCCCCATGATGCTTGACTGCTTCTTCGTAGGTGCAGACCCTGGGGCTCATGCTCAGTTCCTGGGGCACACGCTCATATCCTGGGGTGCATGCTCAGATTCTGGAATGCATGCTCAGATCCTGGGGAGCAGGCTCAGAGCCTGTGGTATATGCTCAGATCCTGGGGTGCATATCCATTTCCTGGGGTGCATGCTCAGATCCTGGGGTGCATGTTCAGGTCCTGGGGTGTATGTTCAGTTCCTGGGGTATAGCTCAGTTTCTGGGGTACATGCTCAGTTCCTGGGGTACATGTTCAGATCCTGGAGGATAGGCTCATATCCTGGGGCACATGCTCATTCCCTGGGGTACATGCTTAGATAGTGGGGTACATGCTCAGATCCTATGGTGCATGCTCAGATCCTGGGGTGCAGGCTCATATCTGTAGGCCAAACACACCCCTTTCTTCCACAACTTGGTTTTGGTCGATGTTTATCTCAGGAGCAGCATAGCAAACTAGGACACATGCCTTGCATCATTTAAAGGTAAAGAGTTGACGGTGAAGATGGACGTGTGATGGCTGTGTGTGTTGGCATGTGTATTTGTGGACTATGTGTGGCTGAACGTGTGTTGACAATGTTGGAACGAGGCAGATTCCAAAGCAACAGCATTGATCTGAGTGTTTGCATCGCTGAGGCGAGGGAGGAAGTGGCTATTGCTGGGCGTCCAGCCAGCTCTGCTGTCCCGGGTTCACACTCCCCGACAGCCTGTGAAGGCAGCGCTTATGGTAGGGATCACGCGTCTCTGTGCTGGGGCTCAGTCTGTGAGGAATCAGAGGCCTGGATGAGTTGCTGGAGTCCTCCTGGCACATCTCTGAGCTGCGCGATGCTGCCAGATCACTGCCTTCCAGGCGAATGTGAGAGCGAGCGAGTGCTCGAACTCAATAAAAAAAAAAAAAAAAAAAAAAAAAAATCCAAGGCAAATCTTGAGAGAATAAGGGAAAATGCTTTTTGTGAATTGTTATTATTTTACCTTCTGGAAGCTAGCAGAAATTTCCTTTTGAACTAAACCTGGCAGGGTGCCCTGCTCTGTCTGCTGCACCTTCCTGGGGTCTGGGGCTTTTGGGCTGAGTTGCCACAGTGTCAGCACGTGGGCACCCACTGGCCAGTGGGTGTTAGGAATGCCATTCATTTATACCATCCCAAATCCACCAGGAGCACAGTTACCGCCACATTAATACCCAGGAAAGCCAAGGCTGGTATTTATAGCTCAAAATAAACAGTACAAAATCCCAGCATCTTACGATCTTTAAGCGAAACCAAGGCAGATAATTTATGGTCTTAGGTGACTGTGTGAAGATGCAGAACCCAGCGGAGCCTCACGAGGCTGTGGGGTGTTTCTCAGAAACCTCCAGCATCCGTGCAAGTTTATTAAGTGCGGGAACCAGCCAGCAAGTCTACTCAGTGTGGGTATTTGATTATCAGCTTTTCACTTTCCTGCATTTGACCCAATGCAATGTTTTCTTACAGAGCTGCAGCACTGGGAGAGTCTGATGGAATCCCACAGGGAGAGGCACAATTAAAAATCTCATGCAACAGAGCATCTCTTTGTCCTTGCGATTAGCCGAACTGAGGACGTTCACCCTGGGCAAAATAGTGCTGATGTAGGTTCTCTTGAGTTTGGCTTTTTTATGTTTATAGAACCATATTTGTAGATTAAAAAAAAAACAAAACTTGTCTCCTCACAAGCTGTAGTATTTTATTACCTCAGCATTACGAACAGTAAGGCATTGACTTTAGGATAACAACGATTGTTTTAGCAGCAATCTGCTCTGGTGGATACCCTGAGACTATTTCATACTTATCAGTTTTATTATTTTTAAACCTTTAAGGCTATGTCTACAAATTCCCAAACATACTCTCATTTCAGTAGAAAAGTTTAAAAGAAGAGAAAAAGCAATTAATGAGCCACCTCGTAGTGCATAGATAGAAATATCTAGATAATCATGCTCATGTTTGATTTGGCTTGATTGATTAATTAATTAAACATTTATTGAGCCCGGGCCGTGTTCGCTGCTGCTTTGCTGTGTCTGATAGTCAGGAACCTGAAAGGTAATTTGCAAACGTTGGTCCTTCCTGCAAAGAGCCCTGGGAGAGGTGATCACAATGACCAATCACCCTCATCAGTCCAGGTGAGAAGGGCCTCTCTCTCACTTACCCTGGTTTTAAACTCTGTGCCCCTGAATGGCACAGGCTGAGTGCTTGCTCATGGTAGTGCTGGGCCATCAGGTCTCTTTGTG